ACAATTACGATGAATCCCTCGTTGTTGTGGAGAAATTGAAAAATATATGAATTTGTGTGATGACGATTACGACGTTTTTACCAATTTTCTATGAAGAGTTTGATGTCAGTGTTTTGATAGATGGTCCAAACAGATCCAGGTTTTTTATGGATAATGTACCAATCACAACGCCCATAAGAGCTTTAATCCATGTTCTCTTTGTTGTTTTCGGGTCGTTTTATGTTTTCAATTTTCCAAAATAGTGAAAATGCGTTCTCTTTCCTATTTTCGAAAATACGTTTTTGAAAACAAAAAAATTGTACTAAAAACACCAAAACAAGAAAAATCTCGTTTTAGGCGTTTTCAGTGTTTTGCACAGTATAAATTGGAAAACATTCGAAACACCATTTTTGAGCTTTGGTCCTTGGCTTCTCTCTTCTTAACTCAAAGTCCCATCTCTTCTTCTCTCTTGCCCCTGTCGGCTTCTCTCTTCTCGACGTGGCGACAGGGAAGAACCTGAGGCGAGGCGGAAGAGGCATCTTCTTAAGGGCTAAGGCTATGTAAGAGTCGTAGTTTATGGAACGTTTTTCATCGCCTGGAAAGGAAAAAACACGGAGCCTAAATCAAAACTAACCCTTCGCTCCCAAATCAAAACCCATGGAAACCTAAATCGCGATTGAAGCAAAATGATATTCTGGAATCCACCATCCCCAACTTCATATTGTAATCGAACCCTTAAACCATCCATCTTGCATAAACGTAGGTGTTGAATCATAGAAGTCCCGTAACCTAAACCCAAAAGACATGAAGGAGATTACACAAGCCCAACCAATTCCACGCACGGGTGAAGGTTATTCCTAACTGAACGATTTGAAACCATCGCCTGAATTTTCGTTTACTGTTTTGAAGAAATATGTAATTCTAACTGTTCAATTAACGGAATTGTTTTGGAATTTCGTTGTCGCACATAGTTCGAGCCAATTTTTTGGACTTTATTTGGTTTTGCATCTAGTTGATGATATGGAT